TTGTTCTAAAGGTCCTTGTACAGAATGGGCCATTGGGAAAACACTTCCCAGGATCCAAACCAAACAGGAAACCTGCATCCGGGCCCATTTTTGTCCATTTTATTCTCCATTATCCCTATAGAACCCCTATACAACGCCTATGGTGTAGTAGTTTCCATTTGATTTTCCATTATACCTATATAACCTCAATATAACCCCTATGTTATAGTAGTTTCACCCTCAACCCTAAACCCTAAACCCCTATGTTATAGTAGTTTCCATTTTCTTTTGAGCAACTGCCAGCTGATGGGATCCTTCTGATGGGGAGTCGTTGAATGTTCGGCAGGCACCCTGGGCCGAGGTCACACCGCCCCGTGGCTCAGAGATCAGCCCTCGGTTTAGGGTTTAGGGCTTTGGGTTTAGGGCTTAGGGTTTAGGGCTTAGGGTTTAGGGGTCTAGGGGGGTAGCACGTGCGCGGTCAACATACCTGCAACGACAACGTGGCAGTACAGAGACCAGTTACACAAGTAGAGATAACCCTTATAAAGCCCTGTACCATATATATTCTCCTAATAACCCTTACATAATTCCTATATTCCCTGTATAATCCCTATATAACCACTTTTCATCTCTTCTGCGCTCCTTGAGGAAGATCTTTCAAAAGTGGCTCGGGAAGCTGGTCCTAATGCTTGCTGACGGCGCTGATGTAAATGTATAGTCCCCCTTAAGTAGATAGAATATGGGTTATTTGGGGATCTCATTATCAGATTATCATATACCTAAAAGCCATATTCTTTCTTCTTAAGGGGGGCTATACGGGTAGCCGTGAAGCATGGCAAAGCAGCAAAGGGAGATCCCGGTTAGAAATCAGGATTGCAAATCACGAGGATGCCTCCACACACCGTTACCTGCTTCAAGGGAAGATGTGAGCACATTCGCGAGAATTGTTCTGATAAAATCTGTTCAGGGACATTCCTTGAAATCTCTGTGCTCGTGGGACTCTCCAATGTGTTTACACAAAGCTGAACCACCCACTGAGGGCAAAGACCAGCAAGCGCTCCACGCAAGGAGGGTCTTTGCATGGCATGTCCAGACCGCTCCAGCTGTTTTTGCTAGGTTTAGGGTTTAGGGTTTAGGGTTTAGGGTTTGGGGTCTCGGCTTTTGAGATCTGTGGTTCTAGTCTCAAATGTGTTCAGGATGATAGGCAACGCCAGTCACACGCGTGAGGATTTTCACGAAAGGTTGTCCTAAGCAGGGCAGGCGCACATGGTCATCTTGTTTTTTTCTTATGGAGACCCCAAAATGGTACCCCTACTTTCGGGAAACCCCCACATTTTTGAATGTGAAGGTCTAATGAAATGTCTGAAGACGACTTGTCATTGCTTTCCTTTCTTGAGCCTGGAGCCTGTGATGCTTGGTCGGAGATGATGATGCAGAACCGTGCCTGAGGCATCCCGCATACCAAGACCTATTAGCATTCGGGATTTCTATCGAAAGGGGGTAACCCAGTAGACCCTAATCAGCCCCAGACCAGCATGCTCACGCTGTAATACAGCCGCACACCACGAGATTGGCACAATTTAGAAGAAGCGTTGCTTCGTAAGCTTTGGAACTAATGATCTAGCAGCTTTGCATGTGACCGCTAGCTCAAAATACAAGTGACATCTCTTGGAGGACAGCAGAGCCCAGTGCAGACCCCAAAGTCTGCCAAGAACAAACGCGCACAGGGTACCCACCTCAGCTTCCGCAGTGACACTCAAGCTGTGTGCTCCAACATGCGAATTCCGGCCAAGTAACGATTATGCCGCATAAAAGAAATGAAGCTTGCCGCTCTTACTGTAGCTCCAGTCGCGCTACACGAGCCCCGAGCCCTGATCGAAGCCTTCTGCAGCTCTGGAGACGGTTGGAAAGGCTCCACCAAAACCAAGACCCCGGTTTCGACGCCAAAGTCGCCACGCCCTTGGACTTCTTCCGTGGGTTTCGAGAACGGGTGCGCGAACCTCAGGTTGTCTATGTATTTCCGCTCTTTGCAACAAAAGGCAGCATTCTGGCCCCAAGATCCGTTGGAAGGAATCCCGTCAAATCCGAAGCAGTCCAACATGTAGGAGCCGAAAACGCAATTTGCCAGGGTGACAGCCCTGGCGCCTAACCTCTTTGTGTGAGCACTGTGCCCTGCTTCATTACATCTGAGTGTTGCATTCCCCTTTAACACTGACTGGCTGATGCTTGTGAACTGACTTGGACCTCTGCGTACCATCCAGGATCAACTTGCAAGCAGTGTTGCAAAGCACTCGCCGTTCCCGTGAAGCCCATCACGCAAAGGAAGGCAAGCAGATGAGGCGAAGCACAGATTGTATGAGGTCAGAGACAACTCAGACGACACCCGGAGCCCCCGTCAAGGTGCTTGCAGGGAGGGCAGAAACAGTGACCGAGCAATTCTCGAAGAGTTCTGCGGTGTCAACAGCAGAGTTTGGTATCCTCCCTGGGGCTGTGAAGCCCATACAAAAGCTCCTAGAAACTTTCCTCTGATTCAATCAGCTGGCCTGTGTAGGCATCCCGCAAGCGTCGTGCCGGCGAGCACAAGGAGGAGCAGAACTAGGGAGCCAGCTAAGTTGTGCTAGGCGAGGCAATCTTGAAGAGAGCTGAATCCAAGACCCGTAAACCGGCCTAGAGCCCAAAGATTGCATCGCGCTTGACGGCGTAGCTATTTGTTCAAGGGCTGCGAGTTCTTCAGGCATTTGCCCCACGGCCTGTTGTGATGAGGGGTCAGGGGATTTCGGTAAATTCGTCATAATACGGGTTTCAACAGCGGGGCTCCTGTCACACCTCCCCCATCCCGGGAACATTTGGTGAGCACGTTGATCTCTGTTTTCCTCCCAGCCAGGGAAAGGGCTCCAGCGTCTCCATCAAAAACTAAGAGCCTATTGGGGGGTGGCTCGCCAGTAGCCTGCTGGGAAAGCTTGGTGAGGGGTGAGTTGTCAAGATGGAGAAGCAGGATTTAAGACTTAGCTTGGCTGTTACCACGCCTTGATGGGATTGGCGGAATAGACATACGCGGTGCAGCTCAGGTGCCACTACTGCAAGGTACTGCGACTAGTATGCGCCAGTGCGAGGGCGTCGTCGCTGCTGCATACTGCTGCAGCTACTGATGTCGATGATTCCCATGACGACTGCAAGCACTACGACTGATGCTACGGACACACAGCCCATGCTATAATTACAGCATCGACTACTACATCGACGAGAACGACCACTGCTACTACGATGGTAGTGATGGCAGTCGTCTTGTTAGAATGCAGACAGTTCAACATAGGTTCCCAAATGTGCTGTAGTCAGAGGCAAGACGGAGATGGCGGATATAACTATAACTGCGTCCCCATGAAGCTCCATCAAAGGAGCATCAACGCATGTTGAACAAAAGCCCTTGGTTGAGGAACGGTTTTCCGGGCGAAGCCCAGCAGACAAGAGCTTCGAAGAGTCCAGGCTTGGAGTCTCTGAGACTGAAGGAATCAGGGCGAACAGAAGCACACCAAGACGCCGACAAAGACGGCGGGAATGACGCACAAGCGCTCGCTGTGCTGTGAGGAAAACATGAGAGCCATTGAACATCACTCGAAGTGGAAAATACTGATTTGAGACAGGTGGACGAGGATGCCAGGGTTTTGGTAAGTTTGGGGCTGAAAGGGAAGAGCACAGTGAGATCGCTGCCATTCTCTACCCTTTTCAACATGGACAACTCTAGCATGGTGGATGGTAGGATGTCAGAACGCTGGGAGCTGGTGGATGAACCTGGTAAGGAGACGACGCAGAACCCTGTGAGGCCCCCTCAACACCCTTGACAGCAAGCAGCTTATTGGTAAAACGCTGCGATTGGAAGGACAGAGAGAGGATGTCGGGCAGAAAAAGCAATTGCTGCATTCTGAACCCGTGAAAACTACAACATAATATATGCATAAGAAATGCGATCACAAACAGGGGGGCTAGGGTTGAAACGAATGAAGCAACTGAGGAGAGGAATTTTTCAACCAGCGGTTTTGGAGTTGCAGCGAGCAAGAGGAAGGGGGGGTTGGGGATGGCGAAGATGGGAGACAGCAGGATACGTAGCTGGTACACGGGTCTGGTGTTCGGAGGAGGTGGAGGTAAGGGTGAGATAGACCCCAAGAAGAAAGAAACAAACAAGCAATGGTTGATCATGCTGCCTTGTCTGGCATGGGGATCTGCCCTTCTCCGTACCGTGGTTTATGGTGGCTTCTTTGTTGGAGTGATGGCTCCTAAGGTTGAACTGGATACAGGTTTAGGGTTTAGGATTTAGGGTTTAGGGTTTAGGATGTCAGGAGGCCACACCCGGACTTTGAACCCAAACGAAAGGATCATTCAAGACGTCCGGATCGCTGTTCGAGTGTTGCGGTCGCTCTTTGGTTCCTGGCTCTTAGCAGGCAATTTGTGAATATACAGGGATAATACAGGGGTTAGGTTCCCTTATTCCTTACCCTAAGCGTGATTGAACGCCTATTTCCTATTCCCTTGGTCTCTACTCAGAACTCTTAAGTTTTGTTCCTCAAACCCTAAACCCTATCTCCTACTCCCTACCAAGAACTATTAAGTTTTGTTCCTCAACCCTAAACCCTAAACCGCAAACCCTAAACCCTAAGAACTAGTAAGTTTTGTGCCTCATTCCTCGTGCGTGCACTTTGCCTCTCCGAAGGAGAGCCACTCCGTCGAGTTGGCGACAAGCCACCCCGGCCTGTTTGTCCACTACTGTATCATCATTATATATTAGTATTATTGTTGCTACTGTTTTCATTAGTTTTTATTGTTAAGCAGTATTTTTAGCATTACTAGTATTATCTTTTGTCATTATCATAACTATTAACATATGCTTATTATGTCTATGATTATGATGATTAGTATTGCCGTTTATTCTCGTCACTATTTTACTATCAATGAGATTACCATGGTATTATTGTTAGAATATCCGCTGAAGCATCAGTCCCCCGATGTAAGCTCTCACACTGCCTGCCAGAGTCTGTTCATTCCAGGATCTAAGTCCGGTGGTGAATTTTTAGGCTCCCCACAATCCTAGACCCCTTTTCCCCTACCCCTTTTCTTGGGTACCTAGACATTTTATGTCCGGTATCTTCTATATACAACTCAGGTTAAAAAAGGGTAGGGTATAGGAACCCTAAACCCTGACTAGGTCTTCACATACGCCTGCTGGCCAGGTCTCTCCCAGCTCCAGATCGAGGAGCCTCCCAAGAAGCGTGTGGACAGCTTAGCCCGCATGAGATTCACGTAAATGGCTGGATGACTTGGCAAAATAGGGATTATACAGGATTATACGGGGTAATATAGGGTTTAATATGGGCTCAAATAGGGATTAGAGGGGGTTTCGGGATATCATCCCTGTAATGGAGCAAGAGCACCTTGGGGTTCCCTGCAGCGGCTCTCCACATTTCGCATATGAGACTCCTCAATTCTCTTCTCAGAGTCAGACATGAATGTAGTGAATTGGCAAGCTTAGTGGTTCAGAGTTGTTACAAGCTTCCCACAATTCTTGCTAGGCTGTGGATATCTGCGGCTTGTAGACATTTGCAGGTCTCGCTTGCATGTAGGTCAGACTCAGAGGACCCACAGATAAATGCTACATGAGCTATAGTCCAAACTCCTAAAAGAGGGTGTATAGGGGATTATATAGGGGACTACTATAGGGGATATTAAGGGGGATACTAGGAGTTTAGATTATGGCTCACATAGTGGTTGGCGTTGTGTGTCTTTGTGTTCATGTGTGTGTGTGCGCGCGACGTGGGCTTAAGTCAAAACAAGCAGGGCCATCGGCGGCTCAGCCCGACTGAAGTCCTGCTGAAAGTCTTGCCTACCTAAACCATCCCTAATACAACCCCAATATATACCCTATTATAATATAGTAGTTTCCATTTTCTTTTCCATTATCCGTATATAACTGGGTTCAACCACCAAAAAAAATGAAGTCCAAACCTGCGAGCCGCCAGGCTAAGGGCACCAAGAACACTCCATCGAAACAGGCCAGATTCGGGTTTAGGGTTTAGGGTTTTGCAGTGACTTTCAACTGCCCATGTGCATCACGCTCGCTGATGCACAACACATCACGTGAGCTACCGTCAATATTAGGGATTCCAAGAAAGCATGAAGGGTGGACATACTGTAGGGCTGCTTATAGTTAGGTATAGTCAATAAGATATGCCCTAACAAGGAAACCATGTCCATTAATTAGGTTGGAAATATCGACTGTAACTCAGATACAGATTGAGAGTAGACGTAGCAGCCGGCTCATGTTTGCCTTCACATGGGTAAGTGTCTTTCGGCCTTACGCCTCAATGCAAAACCTCCTTTAGGACAATAGGGAACATAGGTTATATGGGGATCATGGAAAAGCTGGAAACTACTATCCTGGGCTATATAGGGTTCAGGGTGTAGGTCCATATTCTTTCGTGTAGCCTTGGTTCAAGCTGGACATCATGCTGGTGCAATGAAAGGGTTGTCAGTTGTAGTCCTAAGAATATGAACCTACACCCTAAACTCTACATAACCCATTCTAGTAGTTTCCATTTTCTTTTTCCATTACACCAATATAACCTCAAGATGTTCCCTTATATAACGCCTATCCAGTGGACCAAGTCATGGGATCCCCAGCTTCATCAAAAGCACGAAGGCACCCAGTGTAGAGGGAAGCAACCCAAACTTTGGGAGAATGAGCCCCCAAGTATTCAAGTCAGTCAAAATGTACTCGAAAAAAAAACGGAAACACCTTCCAGCAAAGCTGTATATCAGTAGCCGTTTGTAGCTACGTGGAGGAAAGAGCTTTGAGATGTTATCTTGGTAGGGTGTCAAACATGCTACCCTCCCGATGTCTTGGAATTGTTTCAGGGCTTGCGCTGCTTCTGACTTGGTTGGCATGAGCGCGACAGATAGATTACGTGGACCATGGTGGACCCCCACCCAGTAATAGCTACGACATTAACGAATAGTGGGGATTATATTAGGGTCTTCTTATATATTCCTATTATACCACTATTACAGGGTGAGGGTCCACCTAAAGGATAGATAGCTAATAAACTCTGGGTAAGCAGCCTCAGACAAAGCCTTCCAGGCACTTTTCCTGGCATAAGTCGCGATGTCTCGAAATCCAAGGGGGTGAGGGTCGAAAGGCCACAGTCATCTCTGAAAACATTGCGCTCCCCTGAACCCCAATCCCTGAACCCCGAGAAACCCCCTAAACCCTGAACCCTAAATAGGAACAATCACAACAATAATAGCAATGGTCACAGTTTTAAGCAGAGAAATAAGGTTGCTTCAGTACTCTACTGGTTATTGTAATGGTTACTAGTATCATTATTAGTATTGTTTTTATCATTGGAAGGCAGTGGAGTTTGAGGAGGAGCCGGCTCCGCAGACGCCGCCCTGCAAGCCGCGCAATGCAGGGAGACTCAGCGCGTCAGCTCGCCATGCTTCGCACGAGGGCTTAAGATCTCTATTCAGCGCGCTTATTCTAGCTGGTGGCCGTTTGAACCTTACCACGTTGTGCCGATAAACCCTAAAACCCAAAACCTAAAACCCTAAACCCTAAAATGGAGCATGTGAAGCTGGCAGGATCACTGCCAAGCCAGCCTGTGCCGCCTAAGATGCTACGGAACCGTGCTAGCAGGTAGTTTCCGTTTTCTTTTCCATTCTCCCAATATAGCTCCATATTCTATCTACTTAGGGGGGACCCTAACCCCTAAACCCTGTTGCCGGGCCTTTGGACCCCTGATATCATGCAGTCCTTAACAGTGCATGCAATTGGGCTGATGCACGTCTGATAGATCCTATGACTATGAACTCACTCTTGAATAGCTGCCTTATGCAGATGGTACATGCGGGTGCTCTTTGGGGAATATGTCAGGCCCCTTCATCAAATACGTATTGGCCCAAGATAGCCCCCAATACAATATAGTCCTCATGATACGTAGCCCAGAAAAGGACCCCCCAATTCTGGGCACCCCTACTTGCTGTAAACCCCTTTATGATGCAAGTGTCCATTTAATTTTGCATGTTCTTTTCCTTTTGATTTTCCGCTGTGAAGGTAAAATCCCCGCATTACGTCGATATCCTCAACCTCACATGAGCTATTGCGTAGCCTCCTAGTATCCCCCTTCATGACCCCAATAGTAGTCTCCTATATAATCCCCTGTATAACCCCCTTCTAAGGAGTTTAGACTACAGCTTGGGTACTTCCCCCCCCTCAGTAACAGTTGATAATAAATATAATGTGGGTATCTATAGCCCTTAATAGGATCCCTAATGTAGACTGTTACTGGGTGGGGGCAGTACTGAAACTACAGCTCACATCCCTTTCATGTTTGCTGCTCCTCCTCAGGCCAAGAAGGGCGACCGCAACAATCAAAGGCACGGTCTGGCACCACTTTTCTATAGTCTAAACTCCTTAAACGGAGGTAATATAGGGGACGATATAGGGGACTACCATAGGGTTATTGAGGGGGATACTAGGAGTTTAGACTATAGCTCACTGTTGCTTTTGAGAAGCCTTTGATTTCCAAAACCGGTTGGCCCCAAATCAAAAGGACGGAGGGGAGGTTGAAGGGGGCAAGGTTTTAGGATTTACTGGGTTGCTGTTAAGGAACCTAATTGAAGTTGTTATATGGAGGAAACCGTACTGGTTTTGGCTCCACCTGCACCAAGTGCCCGGGCTCCACGGGTACTCGCCCATAACGCCGTTCGCGTTCCCAGAGCATCCGCTGACTAGA